GAGTTAGAGCTCCAAGGCTTAATATGATATAAAATAACTAAAATAAAATCTAATTACATTAGCTAACATAAAAACATATAAAGCTATAGAAACCATAATCTGTCAGGGTGTAGCCAGCAACTAGTTGTCTGCATGTAGAAATACATTTTCTCTAGCTGAACAAGTTATTACATAATTGTCCATTACAGAAATGTTTCATCTTTTTCTGAAGCATCTGGTCCTGAATACTCTTGAACACAGTCCTTTTAATCATATCATTGGACTCGATGGCATGGGGGGGCCCTTGTAGTCCTATGTTCCTATATTCTATTTGATCGAGACTCTCAAAGCCAAAACCCCTTCTGTACCTATCTGTACAGTAAGCAATGTCTACCATAGATTGTACCTTCAGCAAATGTATCCTAGAATCCGCTGTGAGTCCTAAAGCTCTCTCCCCCAACAGTATTCTGTGGCAGTGGGCACTGCTACAGACTGCTGAGTGCAAACTGCTAGTTTACAGGTAGGGAGCAAAATGTATGCTAAATTAGGTCTCAGCAGATAGTGCCTCAAGTAGTTTGCCATCTGTAGAAAGTCTTTGGCACGTCTTTACATATGTTCCTTTTTTCTATTTTAAAGTTAGTTAAAGTTGTTCATGGAACATTTTGAATGTTTCTAACCATAGTGAGTTATGAGTGTTTAACAGCAACAGAAGGCCTCTGCTGGGCTTCCTCCCTCTCCCAAACATTAGTGGGGATTGGTTAAGGTAAAAAGTTTCAAGTGACTTTTGTGCAAGATGTTCAGTTAAGCTCACTGTATGGGCTTCTCCTTTTAGAGCCGACCTCAGGCTATCTCATCCTGCTATTTAAAGAAAAATGGATGAGATGTCCACTAGACCAGTGGTTCTCAACCTTTTTTGTACCAGAACCCACTTGTAACATCAATGGCCAGTCCCGATCTGCTGTCCCCCACCCCCAGGCCCCATCTCCGCAGTGCATGGGACAGGGTGCATGTGTGAAGCATGGAGGGCCCCAAACAGCTCCGTGCAGGCTGGAACTCTGCCAGTCTGCAAGGGAAAACCCACGTTTTCCCACATTTTTCTCCTTTAAAGGATAATCCATTTTTAAAGTTTGTTCACGACCCTTTCATATATTCTTGTGATCCACTTTTGGGTCATGACCCAAGGATTGGGAAACACTACTCTAGAGACAGTTAACACTGTTTTAAGGCAAACAAAGGGGAGAAGAAGAGGAACTTCCTAGAGAGGGATAGGCAATCTGTGGCATGTGGGCCAGAGCTGGCACATGGCAAGTGGAAATCTGCAACATGAAATGGCATGAGTGCATTCTCTGCCCTGCACCACGCATTCCTCTGCCATGTGCAGGCAATCCCCTCCACAGCATGTAGCAGGCAGTGGACCCAGCCCTCCCTGCTCTGTAAAAGGGTTACTCTCTTGCTCCACTACAGCAACCTTTGCTTACCCTTACAACTGAATTTGTTTCTCCCCATCCCTGTTGACAAGAAAATCAGCAGGATTGAGTTGCTAGGGTATGTGGAGGCTGCAAGGGTGGGGGAAGCATGAGAGCTACCCTCAGCACAGAGCAGAGAGAGCTGGGTGCTGCAGAAGAGATTGGTCCCAGCAGTGGCCTGGCTGCCGGTCTTAAAAACTGTGGACCCTATAATTCTATTGAACTGTATTCAGACCCTGCCAGCAGGGTGAGCTTATTTACCAAGGAGGTGATCTCCAGAAAGGCAGCATTTGGGTTTTCTTAACAGATGCTGTGGCTAGGGATTGGCATCTGTGAAAGAAAATGTCACTCTTTCAGGTAATTCTGACAAAATAAAACTTGTGCAAATTTACATAAATGGAATTTGAATATCAGTTTTGGACTATAAATGGGCACCTATCTGGAAGTGTGCATTAATTAACACAGATTGCAGCCAAGCATGCTTGTGCATGTGGTTCCAAGGGATAAAATCTTGAAACGTACTAACAGGAAAAAAAACAAACGAACAAGACCAGTGGGAATAAAATACGGTTGAACCTTGTACCCACTGAAGTCAATAATAAGTTGACGGATTTCATCAAGTGCAGAATGAAAACTTTAGTAATCACATCCCATTTTCTTAAAAGTACCCAGCTCAACATTATTTCTATTTGGATCAGATTAGATAAGTACACTAGCAATGTGGGCTAGCTTCTCGTTTTCTGTACTGGTTAACTAAAAATGCACTTTATCAGCAAGGGGCTTGTTTTGTCTTAAAGGGACACTACTATCTTGTTGGCTCTAGTCATCCCTTCCATTCTAAATGATATTCATGGTTTTTGGTGCATGCTGATACATAATGCAAACTGAGAAAGTTTAGAAAGAGAATAAAAGATTCTCCTTGGTGGCATAATAGCTTTGGAAACATGTAACTTGATGAGGTCTTCTCCTTAAAACTTATCAATTCAAACTGGGTATAGGTAAATACAGATAAAAATATTCAATACAGAAACAGTAGTTGGTATGAGTTCAGTTGCTAAATACTAGGCATACAAGCTATTTGGTTGTGCCACCACTGCCAGTAATTGAAAGAAGAGAAAGGAAGAAACTAGAATGAGGGCTGAAATACCATTTTATCCCAGAAGGTGTTTCCTTCAGAGTTCCTGGGAAGTTTGAATGCCATTGGTAGTGCTGTATCTGTTCTGTACATAACAATTGGTAGTCACATTGGCTTGGCATTTTAAGAAGTACAATTTTTTTTTATGTTTAACAAAAGATCAGAAATGTTTGATAGAAGAAACAGTATTCCCACTTTCCAGAGTGAACAAAACATTTAGTATTATTATGGAATGATATGTCTCAGCAATTACTTGATTTGTGGTGTACTGACTAGGAATATTGTTCATGTGTTTATTTTCTAGTAAAGAAAGTTTTCCTGAATGAATGGTCTGCTAAAGTTTTTCCTTATTAGAATAAATTTTACAAGAAAGTGCTTTTCCAGATGTATGTGCTATAGCATCCAAAACATTTTATATACATTATTACTGAATGCTCTACCTGGATCCTCTAAACTCAATATGAAGACTTCATTAAAATGCATGGAAGATTACCCTCATTTCGGATTCTGAAAAAGGGTATTGTTTATATGCTACACCAAGTTACCTCTTTTGCACTTTGTTGTCATCAGGTGACATGGCATATAAAAAAACCCAAACCTCTAAATGTTTTAAAATTTGGGTAATTTACAATAATTTTCTGAGATTTATTTTAAATTATTTAAACCCTCCCACCTCCCGCCCAACCACTGATGAAAGGACTCATTGCCTATTATAAAAAAACTAATCGGAGTAGTAGTTCAGTTCCTTTGCTCATCCATTATTCCATCTTGGGATGTATTCTTTCTAATGAAGCAAAATACTGGTACTTTGAATAACAAAATTCAGAATGGACTCAATGGCATGTCCATAAGTGCATGCAATTAGGATGAGTTCATAGCAAGCCAACAGATTTTTGTATGTTAAAGACTGGCTGGTTGGGTGCTTATGGTCAAGACACAGGAATTCAATGTGAAGAGACTTACTCTTCGTTTCACTCATAACTACCTAATATTTGGCTTGACTTCCTTTTCTTCTGGTTCATCCTCACTGTCATCAACCTGTTGAATGACCAAGTCAGTGGACCCATCCTCCACAATCTCCACATCAGATCTGTTGTCTTCACCATAGTGCCACCTGGAATCCTTATCCCCTTCTTGTGGAAATTCTAGTGATGGCTCAGCCTCCAAGTCAATGCGGATGCTGTCTATGCCAGCTTCTGCTAGACACTCATTACACAGTCTGTAACGTCTTGTTCCCTCTTGGACCACTTGTCCCGTCAGCTCAGTCACATGGCGTTTACACTTTCTGCAGATTGGCTTGCACGCCTGATGAATCTGTGAAGATTGAAATGAATAAAAGCTGATGTTTTCCCCCAAAAAGAGATGGATAATCAGACAAGTTGTGCTTTGTATTTTAAAATTCTGGATTCAGATTTATAAATAAAATATCATGCCATGCTGATTTAATTTCTAAATAGTCAGAAAAGAGGTTTCACAACACAGCTAAAGTACCTGCGCCATGACTTAAATATCAACACTATAGAACATTTGCCTTTTAAAAGCTGCTTCATAAACTTCTTGTAAGCCAAGAAGTAATTAAGTTCTATCTTTTGATATTTTGGATATTGTCTTTGAGGAATATGCCCGAGTTGGAAATGAAACTTAATATTAAAGAATCAACGTAACATAAAAATTTTCTGCCCTTCTAGTGACTCTCCTACATATCTGGACTGCCACAAGGGGTCAAGTGAGAGGATTTAGATAGTCAGTGGGCACATCTACTTGAGATACTAAATGCTCAGTAGACTAACTTTGCTACATATTAGTGTACCATAGCAAAAGCTGTGCTTGTGCACTAATGTGCAGTCGAATTAGTCTACTGCGCATTAGCATCACTTAAAAGACGTGTTCCGGCACTACTGCGCAGTAGCGCGAGTTACTGCACCTTGAGTCAGTACCAATTATTACAGGTACAAAACTTAACATGCAGTAACTACAGCATTTTAATGCATGTGTAGACACGCCCATTTAGTCTGGGCTTAGGGTTCACTTTAAGGTCAACATTTCCCATCCTTGTTGATATAACCAAAGCGTGATGAAAACCCAGGTTGACTGACCAAAAATTATCCCTGCAAGAAACTTATAAAGGATACAGGATTGATTCTTTAAATATCCATAACTATAATTTGACTTTCAGCATTCTTTTGCTGATATATGCTTTCCATACTATAAATATGAAGATACCAAGTCTGTGTGGAAGACTGTTAATTTTAGGTCTGAAATGAGGCAAGCCAACAATTCTCCACCCTTTTAGATTCCTGGCAACCTGGTTAGACTCACAGCATCCATCAAAAAAATGCTAGCTCTTAGCTTTCACTCAATTTTTTAGTATAGAACAGGGGTTGTCAACTGGGGGCACACCAGAGCACTGCCACCCACCATCCTGCACCTGTGCTTCCCAGGAGCAGGGCTGGGGGGGAGGAGGGGAGGGCAGCAGTGCCCCTCTGCAGGCTGCACAGGTGCAGCCCAGCCAGCCAGATGCCAGGGGGGAGGGGGGAGTTTGGATGTGGTGGCAGTGGCCACCCCCACCCCCCCGTGCTGTACCTACTCCCCTCCCCCTGCTCCATGTCCAGCCGCCAGAGCTACACTTATTAAAAAAGGCTGAAAACCCCTGGTATAGAAAAACATTAGGATCATAGAAAGTAGGGCTGGAAGGGACTTCATGAGATCATCTAGTCCAGCCTGTTGCTTGAGGCAGAATCATCTGTGACTAAACAATCCCAGTCAAGTGTCTAATTTCTTGAATAGGCTTCCCAGGGAGGTGGTGCTCTCACCTTCCTTGGAAATCTTCAAGAGGAGACTGGATAGGCACCTGGCTGGGGTCTTATGACCCCTCCCACCCCCAGTGCTCCTTCCTGCCCATGGCAGGGGGTCGGACTAGATGATCTGTCTAGGTCCCTTCCAGCTCATTGATTCTATGAAAATGTCCAGGTATGGAGATTCCACAACTTCTCTAGACAGCCTGTTTCAATGCTTGACCACCCTCAGAATGAGAAAGGTCTTCCTAATCTCCAACTTAAAAAATTTCCTCTGCTGCAGTTTGAGGCCATGACTTCTAGTCCTCTGTGGCTGTAGAGGACAGAAAAGCTAATTTCCATCCTCTTTATAGTTGCTCTTCGGGTATGTAAAGCCTGTTATCAAATCCCCCCTCAGTCTTCTTTTCTCCAGACTAAATAATCATAGTTCTTTCAGTCTTTCCTCATAAATCAGGTTTCCCAAGCCTCTAATATTTTTATTTTACTCTGCACTAGACTCTTCTATTCTGTTCATTTCTTTCTTGAAGTGTTGTGCCCAAAACTGGACACAAGGACTCCAGGTGAGGCCTGACTAGTACCGAATAGAGTGAAAGAATCACTTCTCTTGATCTGCAAGAGACACTCCTTTTAATACAACCCAGTATGCTGTTGGCTGGGTTTTTTCGGGTTTGTTTGGTTGTTTTTTTGTGCAGCTGCAGCACACTGTTCACTTATATGCAGCTTATGGTCCTTTGTAACCCCCAGGACTTTCTCTACAATGCAGCAGCCTAGCCCATCTTTCCACAATCTGTATCTATTCATGTAATTATTCCATTTGAAGTGCAGAACTTCGCACTTGTCCTTGTTGAATTTCACCTGATTGATTTTTGACCATTTCTTCAGTTCATCCAGGTCATTCTGAATCCTGCCCTTACCTTCCAGAGTACTTGCAACTCCATACAACTTGATGTTATCTGCAAATTTGCTAAAGTGTACTCAGTGACACTGTCCAGATCATTAGTGAAGATGTTGAACAATTCCCAAGACAAGCCCCTGGAAAACCCACCTTGATACTTCTTCCCAAATAGACACTGAGTCATTGATGACTACTTGTTGAACACAATGATCCAACCAGTTGTGGATCCACTTTAAAGTGCAATTTTCTGTTGCAAAGAACTACAAAAAACTGCAATAGGGTTTATTTCATGAATCACATGGGTGTTTGCATACCTAACAATGCTAATATAACTTTGCACCCTTAAAAGGTTCTCACTGAACCGTGGTTGAGAATCACCGCTCTCATTTACACCATAGTGAGAATCTCAGGGAGTGGGAGTGGGGGCAACTGGTCATTCTTCCTAGCCTTCAGTGCTACTATTATGATTTGCCAACAGCCTGTGTATTTGTGTGCACATAAGTAGATAGCTATAGAAAAGTTTTAAGAGTCTAAATTTTTGTACATTGTTGAAGCCTTTTCAATATGCTGTTGCTACAATCGCTAAATGAAAAATAAGGCCTCAGGAAAGGCCAACAGAGCTACCATGACAAGGAAACAAATATATGGCTTTAATTCTGATTATGACACAACATTTAAATTATAGGTCAGAACTAATGTAACATTTTCCAGAGATTATAGATTCCACTATGCTGTATCACTCTGAAAAATCTTACTTGTCTGGTCTATTTTTTTTAATAGCTATTTCTCTCACTTTGCTTCTCCATCTGTATTTTGCTCACAAGTCACCACACACAGCTGCAGCTCCTTCACTCTGCCACATGGCATAGCTGCAGCTGCTTTATATCCTCCAGCCACCCTCTCCTACTTCTCTGTTGGCATACCTCTTCTCCATTCTCCAGTGTTCCCGCTAATCTCCCCACTCCCATCTATTTTGCCTCCTTCCTGAAATTGTTCTTTAAAACAAGTATTAAAAATGGGACAAAATTAAAACTTAAACTTGCTTGCAAGTCCACCTACTGACACATGGAAAAAATATTTCTTTTTTCTTTTACTTTATGCACTGGCAGTATTTTGTGTACAGTCAGATTGCTTAGTCAGTTTGTTCCTTATTTGCATGGATCTTTCACACAGTGGCAGGAAAGAGGAAAAAGTGATTTTTAAAGACAAAACAAACTGGTAGGGGCCAGAGAAGTTCCAGAAATTATTTTTAACTCATTTGAGGGACATTCACTTATCTACAAAGTGGCCAACAAGTTCTTTACACCAGGTCTGAAATACTATATTGGACTTTTTGGATCCTTTAAACAAGGGTGGAAGTCACTCCTTTTCAAAAGCATTACATTTCAGGTTGCCTTATCTTTGAACCACTTAGAATACTATTTCGTGTAAACTTTAAGAAAACTGGTATATTCACAGAATCATAGAAAATGAGGGTTGGAAGGGACTGCAGGAGGTCACATCTAGTCCAATCCCCTGCTCAGAGCAGGACCAGCCCCAACTAGATCATCCCAGCCAAGACTTTGTCTACCTCAGTTTTAAAAACCTCCAAGGATGGAGAGTTCACCACCTCTCTGGGTAACCTGTTCCAGTACTTCACCACCCTCCTAGTGAGAAATGTCTTTCTATTCATACAAAGCAGACTAAATAACTTAAAATACCAGGCACCCATACCAAATTAAATTATTTTAACACATACAGATATATACACATTAAATTGAATTAAATCATGCACTCATTGTCTAAAATACATACTGTTCGAAAATGGCTACTTAGGTGATCTAGTCTGCTAAATCTTTTTCCACATGCCTCACATGGATAAGGTCGTTCTCCAGTATGGCAACGCAGATGCCGCTTTAGGTCTGCTTTTCGCTTCACCACGTGGGTGCAGAATGGACATTTGAATCTCATCCTGGGCAGGTCATCTGTTGTAAAAAAGGATTTTATATATCTGAAAGAGTCATATATCCAGTATTGTGACCAATTCTAGAAAGAAACATATTTCTACTGTAACAGTTATGCAAATTATGAAAAGCAAAAAAGCCAGCAGACCTATAAGTCATTTTTCTTCAGAAGAAATAGTATTGCCTATCTTTTCACTTTCACAGAACATCAGAGTCCTCGCACATTAAATTACAGCAGCTCAGTAAAAGAAAAAGCAACTGATCATCACCTATGCTGAAACTGCTAAGATTCAAAGTAAAAAATATTGACTGAACTGCCAAGATGAAGCTCACTGTATTTTGAAGGGACACACACACACACACACACGCACAGTAAGGCATATTTTCCAGTCATTAGTTCTGATTATTATATCAATTCTCCATTGCAACTTTGGTAAAAATAGGAGAGAGAGATACAAATAGCTAATTCATACCATCAGCCCAGCCTCCCATTACACCTAAAATTGAGGGTATGTTGGCATATTGCTCGTCTGCTTTTGAAGACTTTGACTTGCTAGAAGAACGGGGTGATTCATGCTCTTGCTGCGACACAGCTAAACTCCTCTGTAGCACGTCAGATCCTTGACCATACTGGTACCCAACATGGGGAGACTCAACTTCTGTTTCAATCTGAACTTGCTCTTCAGATGGAGACATGTGACTTGTAGGCTCTGAAGCTCGGTCTTCGAGCTTACTTGATTTATAGTGGGGAATGTCAGAAGGCTGTTGCAGTCCTAGATGTCTGGGTTTTTTAATGGAATCCTGCCTTTGGTCATGTTTGGCCAGTTGCTGCTGTGTACTTCGAGAAGACGGATAGTAGGTGAAACTGCTCCATGTATTTCCACCCATCATGCAAGACCCTTGCTCTGGACTTAGGTGAGAATGAGGGGGGCTGCTTTCCGCCCTCCAGCCAGCACCATACAAGCAGGAGCGTTCCACACCATTTGAATTTACATCTTTGTCTGACAGGCTGAAATAGCGATCCTTCTCTTTCTCACTGATGTCCAGTGATGACTTAATGAATGTCTTACAAACACTAATAACATCAGTCATCTGAAGATAGCTGGCAGCTGACATGACTTCGATGACATTTTGACCAGTGAGAGACAGTTTGCCTGAATAAACAAAATCTAGAATAACAGTAAAAGTGTCAGGAGAAAATGCCTGGAAGGTAGCAGTTGTTGGCTGACTAGTCTCCTTCGAGCTCTGGGAAAGGAGCATTTTGAAATAGCCACTACTGGCAAACAGCACATTTCGATGTGCTTTGAAAACCTTCCCCTCAACCAGGATATTGCAGTCACAGAACAGGTCTTGCCTACGTTGCTCATTGAGTTGCTCCAGGAGATGAAACTGGTGGGAAGAAATCTCCATCCCAAAGCGATAAATGGGAAGTGCAGCTCTAAAACAAAGAACAACAACAATCTTGACTTTGACATTGTTGTAGACAGAAACAAAAGCTGCTAAACCCAGGTTCAAAGACTAAGGTCCTTTAAAAAAAAATTATACATGGGACACAGCATAAACCATCTGTCTTGAAAGGAAGAGACAACTTGCAACAGTCTAGTGGTAGAAGAGGAAGAAACATGTCAGTAAATGCTACATCGTAGCCCAACTTAAGGTACTGCTATGCTGGAAAGCTTGCCTGTATCTATACTAACCATACAGTTATCCAATGAAAGATGTTGCCCCCCAGCACGTGTGCTGCACCATCAGGGCCCCCTCCCTGCTACCACAACACGGCCCAGTGCCTGTCTAAAAGCCCAAAGGACTCGGTGCCAGCTCTACACCGCCCTTGAAACTCAGCACGGAGGAGGAACCAGGCCCGCAGCAGTTATGGACACCATGGAACAAGAGCCTGTGTTGCGAGCTAACGTTACCTGGCTGCCTTGGTCCAGCCATGGTCACATCTTCAGAGGGACCTACGAGCTACCAGCGAAGGAGACAGCAGCAGAAGCCCGAGCGGGAGCCGGAGCGGCAGCGGGGCCGCCCCCTCCCGGCGCCATTGGCGGAGGCCGCCGTCACTCACCCGCACGCCCAGTCCGGAGAGGCCGTGCAGCCCCGGGAGCCAGGGACGCCCGACGGCGCTAGACACGCCCGCCAACAGCGCCG